AAACAGTTAAAGTTATTATTATTTACCTAGTGTATCATCAAATTCCTGATGTTCTGATTGCTGATGACTTGTTGATGGTTGCGGCTCTTCAAACTTCCGAGCATGGCTTGATTCTTTTCCATCCGATCGCCTCTTTTTCGGGAGAGGTGTCCTATTGTGCACTAAAATTCCACGACACGATTCACAAATACGCATTGTTACATCCAATTGATGATCAAAGCCCCATGAATGTATTTTCTCTATGAGACTTGATGATAAATTACGTAAATTATTGCGGCTGCAATTGGGATTGTTTATGTTGGCACTACATTGCACCCTTTTAATAATCAATTCAGCAGATTTTTCCATTGTTGTATATATAAACACTTTTTCGTTTCAACAACTATGCAGCACTACACTTTCAACAACTATGCACTACAGCAACTATGAGCATTGTTGTGATATCACCAAACTTAAATATTAGATTATGTCGGTAGAAACAGACTGCGGTGCTTTAAGTTTATACCTTATATCTCTCATGTGACTACCTGCGTTGTTATATAACTGCTATATAGCAGGTAACTTAACGATTATTTTAGGCATGCCTTAAATAATCGTTAAGTTACCTGCGCTATTATATGTATTCACTTGAGAGATGAGGTATAAACATATATATGCATATTGCTTACTAATGGACACACCTAATACATAAAAATAAATGAATGATTATTTTTCTAATTAAATTAATCACAAATACATGAATTGAAATCTTTTCATGAATAAAACATACTAAGTGATTTTTACTTAGTTTACCTGTTGATTTGGAACAATTTGAGGGTGGTTTTATAGAAGTTGGATAGAGTGTATGCATATATTATAATACAATCCATCACAGGAAAGTGCAAACCATGCTGAGATGGCTGTTCCTCATTAGAACGTTTTGTTCTGAACTCTTATTGGACGATTTGCAGGTAACTTCTCTGTACCCTTTTCAAATGTTAGGCTAGATTTCGCCCAGATTATCGAAAAGTATACCCATAAAGTTTAATCGAATTTTAATAAGGTTGTGCGCGTATTACTATTCGACTTTGAGTGAAACACGCTAAAAAAAATTAACATGAAAAAGTTGTTGTTCGAACAACTTTTTTTCCTTAAAAGCGCCCACTTTGCAATGTATGAAGAAAAGTTAGGTAATTATATTGCCTTTCATGAGAAAAAATATCAAGCAAATCTGAGGGGTACCATTTTTGGGAAAATGACTTTTAATTTTTAAATATATTTTTTTAGAGTGTAGAAACCGATTTTTTATTTTATTTAAATTTTTTTATAAAATTTCAGATTATTTGCTAAAAGTTCGCCATACATCACTTTTTTGTAGGGCTTGTCATTTTTAAGCTATATCGATTTGAAAAAAAAATCGACAAAAAACTTTGACCCTTATCAAATGTTAGGCGAGATAAATTTTGAAAAAAATAAGTACGCAAAGTTGCTTAAAATTGCTAAGTCTCCACACCCACAAAGTTCCATAAGGTTCTGAGAGGGTGCTGCCAACCACTGGATGAGTTGGCGTGAAATCCGTCATAAGCAACACATCTCGTACGTCGTCGACAAGTCGTCAAAGACATTGGGCTTTATCTTCAGAACAGCTAAGAATTTCTCCGACATCCATTGCCTCAAGTCACTGTATTGTTCACTGGTACGTTCCATTCTAGAATATTGTTCTGTGGTTTGGAGTCCGAACTACAACAATGGTACTGAGAGAGTCGAGTCCGTTCTGGAGCAAGTAAACCTTAACGTCCAACCCCGAATGCTTCGTAACAATGTTATGCTGAGAATGCCACTACGTAGGACAAACTATACAATCAACGGTACAATAGGCGGACTGCAGCGAGTATTTAACCGAGTTTCATCAGTATTAGATTTTCACCTGCACTTCCGAGACGTTTCTCTTCATTCTTCTCCAGAAATGGAAACAGTCAATGATCATGTTTTAACGTTTTGTAGTTTTATCTTATGACTTTAATTTTAATTTTAAGTTAAACCATCATTGGGACCATATCGAGTCTGTCGATGCTGACAAGTAAATAAAGATTCTTGGAAAGTAGTGCAGTTCCAAACATCTGTTAGAAGAGACTGCACTTTCATGCTGAGTCTCTTCAAGATCAAGTTGAATATACTGTCAAACCCGGGAGCCTTCATGTTCTTGGTGCATTTCAGCGCTGAGCAAATCTGTTGTACTGTAATCATATCCGCCGGAGGCACGACACAAGGGGAGGCATCTAGGTTTTGAACGCATTGCGCAACCTGATCATCGAGCGGACTTTGGATAGTCGAGCCAAGCCAAGCGACATGCTTGCCGATCGTATTTGCTTTCTCCTGTGGGGTGATTAAAAGTCGATCGTCATCATTTTCGACTATGAGAGGTGGAACTGGTTTGGGATGAGTTTTCAGGACCTTGGCTACCTTCCAGAATGGTCTGGAGCGGTCGTCCAGATTCTGGATGAGCAACCCAAAACTTTCGTTCCGAGGTGAGAGCATTCTGGAAGCAATCTCCTTGTTCAGATCGGTCATTTCACGTTTCCTCGCTAGATCTCCGGTTCTTTGGAACTGGCGTCTACGAACATTTTTCAGGCGAATCAAGAGGTGGGTGTGGGAATCAATGGCAATAAACTTACCCCTCACAGGAACTCGTCGGAAGCACGCCGTCAGCCACGGTTATGGCTTGGTGGAGTCCCTCCAACGCTCGGTCGATGTCCTCCACGGTGTCAAGCGGCGGGTTGTCGATGATGTGCCTGTCTACTACGCGTCCAAACTGGGCCCAGTTTACGCGATGGTGGTCCTTGCACAGGCTTGAAGCAGGAGCCACGTTGCAGCCCAGTTCAGCCAAAACCGGTTGGTGGTCGGAGCTGAGATCGTTCAAGGCTACTGGCTTGGACAAGCCGGTATTTGTCAGAAACAGAATGTTGGCTCATTCGAAAACCAAACGGAGTACAGCCCATGCTGCGAATGGTTGAACAGCAGATGACCGTTCTGGTTCTGCATGTAGTTCCGCCAGGCCTCATGGCGAGCATTTAGATCTCCTCCAACTATGAAACGGGAACCGGTAAGGGTGATGGTGGACAGATCTTTCTTGAATTTAGCCGCTAGTCCACTGCTGGCGGCATACTGTCGAGGGCAGTAGACGGCGATAAACTGGACGTATCCAGTCGACGACTGCTCCTCCACACCAAGGGCCTCGATGATAGAGGTGCCGATATGTGACAGACTGTTGTATTGTATCCCTTTCCTGACGATGATCGCAACACCCCCCCCCCCCTCCCTCCATGGAGCTGGTACGATCAAGCCGAACGATGTTGTGGTCCGGCAACCAGCAACTGTCGCCGGACTTGAGGTGGGTCCCGGTGAGGAGGCCCACGTCGATGGTGATGGTTTTTGCTCTTAAGGAAAAATTCCACGTTACTATGCATAGTGGTTTAGACTCCAGTTTCACGATAGTTTCGAACTGTTCGTTCTTGTTGGTGCACTTGCGGAAAGCGCTGGTAACATGGAAGAACATGTTTCAACACTGGACCACCGAGTACACACCTTCTAGCGTTGGCGGTGTTCTCCAGGATCCAGGAGGAGTGGAATTTGTTCACCGGGCGTTGGTTGGGGCGGGGGGGGGGGGGTGGGGATGGAGTGGGTTACACTCTCGGTTGCTGGTTGGTTCGAAGAGGCGGAAAATCGCCTGGCCCGCAAGTTTGGGACTTTATTTTCTTACGTCCTGGTTGGTTGGTGTACAAGTGTGTAAAATTATAAATAATTCTTAAAATATCGATCCGAAACGATTTACGAGTCTGTCGAATTCAGAAAAAATGCGACTTTGCATGTTCATAATAAAACTGTTCAATATCAAAATATCACATGTTCAGGATGCATGTACTATGATGAATTGCCCTATTATTTTTCATTGCGTTAGCAACTAAAATAAGTGTTATTATTGTAGTTAGATAACCATTTAATAACATTTTTTTAATGTTTGGGTTGCTATATTCAATTTTAAATTTTAATCAATTGGCGTAGCGTGGTTAGTGTCTAATGCACTACCTATAATCCCATATCAGTCCCATATGGAGAAAAGTAGGCATTGAGAAAATGGCAGTTGAAGTTACGAAGTGCAATGCCCATGTAAATATTTGAAAAATCATAGTTAATTAATTGACAATTCTTGCAAGTTGAAATCAGTTACAATGAAGCTTGCGTGTTTTGTTATATCACTGAAAAATATGGCGATCCAAAAAGCAGAACTGTAACTTGACCTTTGGACTACTTTGCTTAATGGGACAAACTGACTTGATATTGTTTGCACATTATTCATTATCAAAGTCCGTAGTTTTATCACGTAATAACGGGTGTTCAATAAAAAATGAGAATGATATCAGTGCCATCCAGCGCTCGTGTGAGAGCACCGCGACTACGTTGTGTCGTACGGCTGACCAAGGCCCCTTCTCAAATATTCATTGACGTTTTTTTGAAGAATAAACATTATGTTTTTAATAAAAAATAATGAATTCGTTGAAAAGAAAAATATTTTACTAGCCATATAAATGAAAAAAATCTAATTTTTTATTGAACAGCCGTTATGTAAGGAGATGCTAATTGATAGTGGATAACGTTGTTATCTTAAAATTGACGAAAATCCATATGCGACTGCGACTGCTTTCTTTTATGAGCTATGACAGCCAAGAAGGACCCACCCTCTTAGCATGTTGCTGTATGTTGTCCGGGGATTCACGGTGGTTCATTCGTGCTAAATGGGCACACTATTTGGTGGGGCTTAACGGTTCAGCGTTTATAAGAAAACCAATTTCCAAATATTGCGTATGCCCAGTCGAAGTTCGATTCCTGTCGTGATCGAATGTTACATTCCGGTGCGTGAGTTCATAGCGACCAACAGCAGTTTGACCTAGAAGTTCGTTCAGTCAATAGTTGAGATGGCATTGCGAGTGGTATTAATTTTCTTCTATAGTGTTCTGCCAGTGATGTTTGGCCAACAGCAGTGCAGAGATCAGCGGAAGTGTATGCCCTTCAGAGATTGTTCAGAGTATCAATCGTACGTTGACAAACCGTCCAAGTCCTGGCCTCAACATGTGAAAAATGAAGTCAAAGGTTTATTCTGTGGCATGGAACAGGGGAGGACCGAAAAGGTTAGTAGATATTATTGGCATACCGAATAAGTGATGTATTGCGCTTTTTGCACCAGTGTAGTTTTGTGGGCTGAACACTAAGATTATTTTACAGATTTCTGTAAAATTTTACCGAAATCTTAACAGCTGAACGTTCGGTAAACAATTTTACAGTTTTTCTGTAATTATTTACAGATATCTGTGAAGAATTCACAGATATGTATTTGTGAAAAATTACAGGAAATCTGCAAAACTTTTTTACCGAACGTTCAGCTGTTGACATTTCGGTAAAATTTTACAGATTTCTGTAAAATTGTCTAAGTGTGAGTTTTGAAAGAATTAATCATATCGTCCGGCCATTTTCCAAAGAGATGACGCTGTTCCGCTAGTAGGAAGTGATAAAAATCCACATACGGATTACGGATGTCACTTCACAGTGAAAACTTATCACTTGTCGTCACGGTGAAGTGATTCCCATTCGATTTGTACGGCAATCACGGCTCTTATTCTGAGTATTACTTCCTTATCACCATGTAGTGACACCCGTATTAAGGCCCACAGAAATTGAGAGAAGTGGGAATAATTCACTTTCGGTGCATATTCAGGTCAAAATAAGTGAACAACAACCTAAAAAAATTAGTCAGGGACTTTGTCGTTCAGTTTTTTTTTTCCCGGAAATCATTGTTAAACAAGCTACAATTAAATAAAACTGATGTTTCCTCATACAGTTTTACCTGTTTTACTACCAGTCCCCAGAGAACCAAAAAATTTAAATTTGAGAGAGAAAATTTGCTCTCACTAGATCATTTTCTCAACATGCCATGTATATTGATGACACTATATTTGTGATTTCCCTCTCACAAACTACAAAATAGAGTTCCTGACACTGTAAAACATGTCTGGTACCTCTATATATGCATTTTGATTAACATCCGAAGTCCCTCTTTTTTACATATTCTGCACAAAATATACTTCATAAAAATCGACGGGAAATCCTGTGAGGGGTGAGCTATTTTCTGCGCAGCATGTGTAAAAAAGGAGGGACTTCGGATGTTAACCCAAATGCATATATAGAGGTACCAGACATGTTTTGCACTGCACTGTCCTCTGTGAACAATTAACGGAAAACATACTATTTATGTGTAGTTTTCGATAGATTTCACTGCTGTTGTTGGTGGTGGATGATGTAAAATAAATGCAGAAACTTGTCAAAATGATTAATTGAATAAAGATCGGTATGCAAGCACCGTTAACCGGTTTTTCCGTAAACGCACAAAAGTATCATACGTAGTCCTATGTTAGAGGCATAGCTCAGGCAACTGATCTGAAAAATAAACTTCACCTTTCAGATCTACAAGTTCTGCTGCATACCGGAAACAATGATCAGAGCCGACGTTTGGAATCCAAAGCCTCCAGGTGGAAAATCAGGTCGTGACCTACTAGACCTTGATACCTGCGGTAAACAAAGCACGCAACGTATCGCCCATGGGAGAAAAGCCGATGTGTTTGAATTTCCTTGGATGGCATTACTCGGAGATATAAACGGAAAATTCCAATGTGGAGGCAGCCTGATTGCAGAGAGTTTTGTCCTTACAGCGGCCCACTGCAGCCGAGTCACAGAGTATGTAGATGTAACATGTTAATCATTGCTTTTCTTATCGTCGATCAAATACCTTTATAGATTTGTGCGTGTTGGAGAAACGGATCTATCCATGCTGATAGACTGTAATTACTCTCAGGGGGAAGAAGACTGTGCTGAACCGTATCAAGACATTCAAGTGGCTCGGTTCATCAAGCATCAACACTACAGTCCTGGCAAAAAAAAGAATGACATTGCATTGGTCAAGCTCGCCAGACCAGCGCAGTTGAATGATAGTAAGTTTCCATCCAGATGTTCAGTCAAATAGATTCATTTAATTCGTTTCACTTCACAGACGTGCGGCCAATTTGCCTTCCATTGCCGGAAATGATCGAGAAAATACCTCTCAAAATGGTGGTATCCGGTTGGGGTCATACCGAAGACCGGAATGAAATTTCCAAAGACTTGCGATATGCCATCTTACCGGTTGTCGGACCAAAAGAATGCCAACTAGCTATAAGTCAGCTACAAGATGCCTACACTTTGGACGAAAGCCAATTTTGCGCCGGAGGTACTGGTGACCGTATGGACAACTGTAGAGGGGACTCAGGTGGACCGTTGCAGTATTTCGGACACAAAGGGATGGTGATTCACGGAGTTGTTTCATGGGGACTGAATACATGTGGCACGGACAGTGCACCCGGTGTTTATACCAAAGTTTCTCACTATCTGGGTTGGATAATTGATAATTTGAAATAAATTTGTAAAGTAGTAAAAGATTTTCACCAAAGTTTTAGTTGCTGTTACACTTACTAAAAGTTTAGTACAAAAAGCATATAATATAGCATACACAGTTTGAAAAGTAGCGTAAATCTCTGTCACTATAATCTTTAATGCACATAAATGGAGCGTCATATGTATATCATGCAAATTAAGTTTTAGATCATCACCTCGATCCGCTGCTGTCGGATAATAGTTTGGGTTTACCCCCAACCTCTTGGATAGAGGATGTCTTCTTCCAACAGATGAAACTGGTAGGGATGGGAAAGGAATGTTAACCCCCCATTTACTTCAAAAAGATGCAGAGAACTCTACGATCTCTCATAAATGTCACGAGAGGAGTATTTTTGTTAGTGGGTAGGATAAGCCAAAGGATACGCTCAGTCGGCGTTATTAGCAATCATTGCACAATGCACAATTCACAGTGGTCCAGAACGGAAAAATACATGGAAATTGGGTTTTCCGCAAAATCTACTGGTTGTAGCGTTTTGATGTCTTGGAAAGAATTGTTGGTAATAAAAAAGCGCATATTTTCATTGGATCAGTCATTAGGGTGATTCAGTTTTAGGGTGGCTTCGAAAATCTAACTCTTCAGGGAAATTTTTGGGAACTTTTTTTACTTCTTCAAAGTTGTAGAAGATGCAAAACCAAGCAACTTTGTCGAAGACAACAAATTTTTATCTCATCATCTACGCAGTCTACGAACTGTAACAACTAGAAGGTTAGGGTGATTCATGAAAAAAACAGTTTTTTGACCATAACCTTTTTTGCTTTGTATTTAGAGAAAACTATACTTGAGAACACTTTTAGAACTTTAAAAACCACACATTTTGATTACGCAATTATGACGTTTGGACCACTGAATCAAAAGATATAGTCATTTTAAGGTTTGAATCAAGTATTTTTCAAACTAATATAAATTAAAAACGCGCAAGCCAATTTCAAATCTATTGAAAGTAATGAAAAAAAAAGAAGTTTGGTTATATATTAGCTGAAAAAATGGCAGAGGTACCATTTTTTTAACTCGAGATATTTGAATTAAGAAATTGTAATTTTTTAAGGAAAAAAGCCATAGAACATGAATAAAAGTGGCAATAACCGGTCATTCCTCCTAAAAACTACTAAAAGTTATTGTAAAATAATAATGAAAACTAATCTAAGCTGTTTGCTCACAAAAAATGTTTTGACAACTCTTTCTGAGCTGAAATTTTGGATACAAACAGATTAAAGGGAATTAGTTGCTGTGATTGAGCAATTATTTAATGTTTATTTTTTTTTAATAACGACCAAGGTTATCAATAAAATGAACTAAAACAAAATTGAACGTGGACCGATCGTACAAGCCTGTAGTTTCCCCAGCTCGTCGTGGAACGAGTGCTGGAAGCGAGTTCGAAGATCACCCAATTGTAACCATCATCGCCAGCAGCATCAACCCCTCAGAAGCTTGATCCCAAAGTCGCCGGCCAGCCCCCTCACACTACACACCCACATCACACACCGTAAGAAGGGTCGGGTGGGGCTAGAGTGCCATATGGGGCAAGAGTGCCACCCTCTATAGTTTTGAAAATAAACATGTTTTCAATGCTAATTCACCCATGACACTATGAATGGTGTTCCTATGCAGCATTATGGAAAGTTCTGTCCAAAATGAAGTATTACAAAAATTGCAAAACAACATTTTGTGCTGATGTGTCAAAAATAAAAATTACTTATAATAATTAGACATCATAAAATAAGGATTTTGGAATTTCCCAATATTGTTTTCTACAATTCTTGCATTGAGGCATCACTAATAATGAAATATTGAAACACCAATAAGAAAGAATATATTACTATTCCCTATAATCAACAATCAATACGAAACTAACGATTTTAAATTGGCTCACCACTTTAGTAGCCTATTGGTCCCAAGCAAACGATTAACGTACCCTATTCTAGTCAAAATTCTAGTACTACGCAATGTTTGTTTTGAATCGCTATGAAAGTTTGACAGATAAAATGAGGAGTTATTGGTTTTCTCCTATGTTTCGAGGGGTGAATCGATTAGCTTGGGACCGAAGAGCGTACCAAAGCTGAGCCAAAAAGTTGAGCACGTTATTTCGGGACCTTCTAGTCTTAGAGTTACCTCTATGCTATAATTGGCCAAAACTAATTTTCTTAAAACGCACACGGAGCAAGAGTGCCACCCCTATATTTATGAATAAAATTATACAAAAATGTAAAAGAAATTGCTTTATTGCCCATTTAAGTCTTCGGTAAGCTTGTTTTCACCAAATTTGACAAAACCAGCTACATAAAATATCAACAACAATAGTTTTCATTTGATTTCATTGGTAAACATAGTTCATTTGTTATGCACACTAATCCAGGCCTCTACCGATCGGTAAATTTTGAATTACAGAACTGTTCGATAATAGTTGGAAAATCTTTGAAAAATCCAATAATTCGTAAAAGTGTTCGGAACTTGAACAGACTTTGTTTAGTTTACCGCATTTAGCTATAAAAAATAAAATTTGTCAAATTTATTGATTTCTCACGTCTAACGGTCATTGGAAAATTTTACCAACTTGATCTGCTGTTCAAAAACCCGGTAAAACTCTACTGTCTTCGGTGAATGACCGGTTATTGTCACTTTTATTCATGTTCTATGGCTTTTTTTCCTTAAAAAATTACAATTTTCTTATTCAATTATCTCGAGATAAAAAAATGGTACCTCAGCCATTTTTTCAATAAATATAGAATAAAACTTCTTTTTTCCAGTACTTTCAATAGATTTGCAATTGGCTTGCGCGTTTTAAATTCATATTAGTTTGAAAAATACTTGATTCAAACCTTAAAATGACTATATCTTTTGATTCAGTGGTCCAAACGTCATAATTGCGTGATCAAAATGTGTGTTTTTTAAAGTTCTAAAAGTGTTCTCAAGAATAGTTTTCTCTAAATACAAAGCAAAAAAGTTTATGGTCAAAAAACTGTTTTTTTCATGAATCACCCTAACCTTCTAGTTGTTTCAGTTCGTAGACTGCGTAGATGATGAGATAAAAATTTGACGTTTTCTACAAAGTTGCTTGGTTTTGCATCTTCTACAACTTTGAAGAAGTAAAAAAAGTTCCCAAAAATTTCCCTGAAGAGTTAGATTTTCAAAGTCACCCTAAAACTGAATCACCCTAATGACTGATCCAATGAAAATATGCGCTTTTTTATTACCAACAATTCTTTCCAAAACATCAAAACGCTACAACCAGTAGATTTTGCGGAAAACCTAATTTCCATGTATTTTTCCGTTCTGGACCACTGTGCAATGGTCCCAAAGCCGTATTTAGGAAGACAAAAATGTTTGCGCTAAAACCGTTGATTTTAGGTTTATGGTGTTTTGGGGAAAGTTTCTTTATATTTTTTTGGCCAATTGGGGTGGTCCATAAAATTGGTGAATTGAAAATGGGAACTTTTTTATCATGTGAGATAGATCAGTGCAATGTTCTAGAAAGTTTTAGAACAATCAATTTGCGGCACCTTTGTTGAAGCCATCAAACTTCCATCTCTTATGGTTCATATTAGTTATGATTTTTTTAAACAAGCAAGTTAGGGTGGCCCCTGAAAAATTGGTTTTCTATGAATATCTTTTCATACGTTCATTTATCGGAAAACAAATGTTCTAGACACTTTTAAAACTTTCAATGGCAAATATTTTTGCTGAAGCAACCAAGTTGCTATCTTTTTTTTATTGGAAAGTTAAAGGCGATTTTTTTCAAAAAACTGGCTTTTCAAATGGAATTAAAAACTTGAAAATCGGTCTTATCCTTTTAAAGATATTGACAATTGAAAAAGTCCAGTTTTTTGAAAAAAAATCGCCTTTATTTTTCCAATAAAAAAAAAGATAGCAACTTGGTTGCTTCAGCAAAAATTGTTTAGAGATGATTAGAGAAAAATATGCGTGGAAGTATCGGGAATGCACCCCGGGTGTAGTGATTTGGTGAGTACGTTCCAGTTGAAGATAGTTGAAAAGTGTATTTGTGGTGATGCAAATGATGATTTAGATGACGCATGGCTTCAAGCATTTTGTGTATCCAAATCAAACATATTACATACTAAATACGCACAGGGCATCGTCTGCTAGCCATTGCCGCGGGTATATCGTGGGAGTCCCAGGTACCCGGTTCAAGCTTTAGTTGGCGGCGGTGGCTCTTCTTGACCTTCTACCCCTTGAGTAATTAGCGTGAATAAGGGCGTCTATGTGATGTTTTGCTGTACCTGTTGTGGACATCTAGTGCATCCTGTTCCCTTAACTTGTTGAGGACACCCTGTCTTGCCTCAAAAGTTACTCTTTTTGAAGTACTAGTCTTCACAACATAAAGGGCACCATTACGGAGCATGAGATTTGATCAAATTATTCGCAGTTCTACTTGTCCAACGCCCCCGGCTGAGTGAGGGATAGAGGATGACAAACACACACACACACACACTTGGTTGCTTCAGCAAAAATATTTGCCATTGAAAGTTCTAAAAGTGTCTAGAACATTTGTTTTGCGAGAAATGAACGTATGAAAAGATATGCATAGAAAACGAATTTTTCAGGGGCCACCCTAACTTGCTTGCTTAAAAACATCATAACTCATGAACCATAATAGATGGGAGTTTGGTGGCTTGAGCAAAGGTGCCGCAAATTGATTGTTTTGCAACTTTCTAGAACATTGCACTGGCCTATCTCACATAATAAAAAAAAAATCACATATTCAATTCACCAATTTTATGGACCACCCCAATTTCACTAACATAAAAAAAATGGCCAAAAAATATGAAGAAACTTTCCCCAAGACACCATATGCCTAAAATCAACGGTTTTAGCGCAAACATTTTTGTCTTCCTATATACGGCTTTGGGACCATTGCACAGTGCACAGTGGTCCAGAATGCAGATTTAGGTGGAATGATATGTTTTGAGCCTGAAATTGAAACTTTAGACTAAAAGTCTCTTCTACAAAGTTGTTCCTTATAGTTAGGCCCTCATTTTTATGACAATGAATTCTAGGGTGGTTCCTATTATCATTAAAATCAAAAATCTAACTTTTTTGTTTGAATAAATTAAGGTATACATTTTTCGGCAAAGTTATAGCTGAGCTAATTTCAAGCAACTTTGGTCAAAACAACTTTTTTGTATCTCTTAAATTGGCCGATTAAAGAGCTATTTTCTTGAATTGAGTTAGGGTGGCTCTTAAAAAAACAGTTTTTTTGCTCTAGTTTTCTTATAATATCTTTCGCCGATCAAGAGTTATTGACGTTTTTATACTAAAAATATGCACTTTTCAAATGTTAATATCTCTGGTTGGGGCAAACAAAAAAAAAGTTTTTTTAAGGCATTTGAAAGGGCGTATGTTATTCTCAATAATATGACAAAAGAGGTATGTTATTTTTTTAACTTGTATAAAATCAATTTGAATTTATTCATATTTTTTACTATATTTGGGTATATATTTTTTATTAGAAGAGATACAGGCAACAAATTCAGCTATAAAACATTCGTCTTACAGAGTTTTAAAATTCTCTAGCAAATAACTTTCATGATAAATTTCATATAAAAAAGTTATTGCTAAAAAACTATTTTTTCCAGGAACACCCGAAAAATTACTCCAAAATGAGAACGTTAAGAGATAGAAAAAAATTTTCTTCGACAAAGTTGCTTGAAATTATCTTAGCTACATTGTTTTTAAACAACACATGTTTTTATTTTGTAAAACAAAAAAGTTAGTTTTAAAAATTCCCTTATTTGAGGACCACCCTGACGTTTGCAAACACCAAAAGAAGGGAATTTTTAAGAACAAAAACTTCTTTCAGGACACTTAATGTCCAAATATTGAAACAAATGTACTAGCACATTTTATATAAATTTGTCATTAGAGTGGTCCTATGAAATCCATCTTTTGCCAATAACTTTTTTATTTGAAATTTATCATGAAAGTTATCTTTTAGAGATTTTTAAAACTCTTTAAGACGAATGTTTTATAGCTGAATTTGTTGCCTGTATCTCTTCTAATAAAAAAGATATACCCAAATAGATTAAAAAATATGAACAAATTCAAATTGATTTTATACGAGTTTAAAAAATAAAATACCTCCAATTTTGTCACATTATTGAGAATAACATACGCCGTTTCAAATGCCGTAATAAAACTTTTTTTTTGCCCCAACCAGAGATCTTAACATTTGAAAAGTGCATATTTTTAGTATAAAAACGTCAATAACTCTTGATCGGCGAAAGATATTGACAAACTTTGTGCAGCAAAAATTTGCACCTTCTTAAGGTCTAAAAGTTATTTGAAGACATCTTTGCTGAGAAATTTGAAATAAGAAAACTAGAGCAAACAAACTGTTTTTATAAGAGCCACCCTAACTCAATTCAAGAAAATAGCTCTAAATCGGCCAATTTAAGAGATACAAAAAAGTTGTTTTTGACCAAAGTTGCTTGAAATTAGCTCAGCTATAATTGTCGAAGAATGTATACCTTAATTTATTCAAACAAAAAAGTTAGATTTTTGATTTTAATGATAATAGGAACCACCCTAGAATTCATTGTCATAAAAATGAGGGCCTAACTATAAGGAACAACTTTGTAGAAAAGACTTTTAGTCTAAAGTTTCAATTTCAGGCTCAAAACATATCATTCCACCTAAATCTGCATTCTGGACCACTGTGCAGTGGTTCCTGGCTGGCCAAAACCTCAAAAATTAAAGTTAATATTTTTTTATTTCAATATTTTTTTATCATTTTTACATGTTAAGAGTATCTTAAATTGAATGATTTGTGCAGTTCTGTTGATTGTATATATTTTTTATGGTTTTTATAGTGTAGCGATATCACAATTAAAAAAAAAATCGTAATGTTTCTTGTTACTGTTTTGCTCAAATATAGCGAAGAATAATGTGTTTATCAACTTGGTTGTTTCAGAAGAAATGTTCCTCGGCTTATTTCACGTTAAATGGATAGTCCCTGCACTGGTTTTAGTGACAGTTTCTGATAAAAAATTAGCACGAATATACTTTTTTCACATTTAGACTAAGCAAAACATATGACGGACACATCCGCCCACTATCATTTAGTTACCTAAAGAAACATTTTTGTCTTCCTAAATACGGCGTTGGGACCATTGTGCATTGGTTTTGGTTCTACGTTACTGTTTTTTGTGACGTCTTGATTGTTAATTTTTCAACATCTATTTCAACTGTTTTTTGCCTATTAGCAACAATTTTGAGGTTTTGGCCAACTTTTGTTCTAAGGGGAACCACTGTGCAATGGGAAACCCCCTATCCCCCTTTCTGTGTGAACTTTTCATGGCCAACTTGGAGACAATCCTGAAGGAGAACGGACTATTACCAAATCGTTGGTGCAGGTTTGTTGACGATATCTTCAGCGTAGTTAAACGGGAAGCCCTTCCACAAATTTAAGATGAGATCAACAGAATTCACAAGGATATCAAATTCACTCACGAGGTAGAAAAGGACTGGAAACTCGCATTTTTCGATATTCTAGTCATCAGAGAATCGTCATCATCATCTTCGCTTGAATACGAAATTTATAGGAAACCAACAAGCACCAAAAGAGTTATCCCCAATACTTCCAACCATTCGTTCCAGCAGAAAAAGGCCGCCATCCACCACATGATTCATCGGATGCAGACTCTTCCACTCAGTGATACAGGAAAGGTTAAGAAATTACAGTATGTACATCTTCGAAACAGTGAGATTCAACGGATACAAGTAGACCACAATCCAGGCAATTATCGATAAAAAAAAAACGTGAATTCTACTAAGGAGATTAGTACTCACCAACCCTCACTCTCAACGATACCTGAATGCTTGAAATGAGTGTCCGTTCCATTTAATTAAGATATTACTTGTAAGCTAAGACCACAGTTAAAACAATTCGGATTAGATTTAGTTTTCACCAGTAGACACAACCAGTTAAAATCATTGTTTGAATCAGTTACTGTTTTAGGTTAAGCAGGTGTATATAAAATAAGCTGTAATCATTGTAACAAAGTATACGTAGGACAAACCAAGAGAACTTTAGCAACTAGATTTAAAGAACATATAGCTGAGGTTAATAAGGCCAAAAAGCAAGAGGAAAAAGGCCTAACATATGATTTAAAATCAAAGGTTGCAGAACACATCTTCACAGAGTACCACCAACTATCGACGGAGGACATCACGATTTTTCGGATCCGTATCACCATGGAAATTGGATGTTGCAGAGAGCCTCGAGATCAACAAACAACGTAATTCAACTTTACTCAACAGGGACCAAGGAAACGGACACACATGGCTTTTCATGTTACCCGAGGTATTATCTCTCATATTATAACATTTTCTTATTCTCATTGCTCTTTTCTCCATTCAGCAAGGATCGAGATTGAATGCCACGGTTTCGCCATTTTGACTCGATGGTTGACGGCAAAATTACTAATGCAAACGATCGGATTACACCGTCTTTTTACCATTGTCGACTGAATTATGTAGAATGGCTGATTCGGGTCTCTGTTTAGCTGCTCATTTCTGGACATCCAGCACAAAAGGACAATAAAGTAAAGGAGAAAGGAAATGAGATTACCAGACAGCTCGAGGGCCACTTTAAACTCTTAGTAACTAGACCGAAAATCGTTGGAAGCAGCTCATCCAATAATGGAAACACGGCTCCAAGACTCCTCGCTGATCCAAAGAACTTCTCCGCCATTTTGGAAATCAGCCAGGAGTTGGTAGAAAACCTCAGGATGATAAGTTCTGGAAGCAGATTTGGAAGCAGTTTTCATTCTTTGAGCAAACCGGTGGGAGGTGCCATAAACGGTCCAGATATGGCCGAACGCATCTTTCTCGGAAAATGTCGCCAGAGAAGAACTTGGAAGACATAATGCGCCTCTCATTGACTTGTTCAGACCCGAAGACTGCAGGTATCTAAAATAACAGGACATGGATTAAATAATGGAGTATCCAAAAGTGAATGACACACGGAGGGTATCTATTTATTATGTTAACGAAAGTTCATCGCTACTCATCCACATGTTTAAAAATCCAACTGATAAAATACCCCACGTTGGTGTACACTCCCGGTTCACTTTTCTCTCCACAGGACTTAATTCCAAATGCAACTACACCCTGCTGGACAAACCGGGACGTTCTATTGGAAATGTACTGCAGCGGTCCACCGGAGTCGCCGGAACAGTTGTCCATCTGGTCAACTTCACCAGCACAAAAGTGGCTCTCGTCCAGTCGCACCCAAGCAACTAAATTGCGCACGCTTACTGCACACCTCTCCAGTGTGACAGATGGAATCACAGCGTATCTAAGCACGTTCGACGCTGTACCATGCTCGGTCGTCAAACCCCAGCCGGACACGATGTAAGACGTTGGTTCCAGCATCCGCTGACCAGGGGTTCCGTCTGGGAGGCAAATCGGTTGAACACCTGTAAGACGATACTGCGTGTTTTTCATCCATAGAAATGGTATCAAATATATACTAACTGTGGTGCAAGGTAGCTGCTTTCTGCAATTGAAGAAGAGCTATGTCATTCTTCTTGTGTCTTTCGCTATATTCCGGATGTAGAATTTCCTGTTCAACTGCAATATCCTGCGGTGGAAGGGTGCATTCTTTCTCGCCATCAAGAACTATGCAATCCTCGTCTTGGTTGATGTCGTTTTCTCCTAACCTTACCGATACGCTGCAAGAATAAGAGCATTTACTTCCCGAATTGATTCCCTTAAGGTGATTCCTTGTAGAGTCGTCCACAAAAGGCCACCACGTAGGCTATACATGCACTTCTCCTTCGAATTTTCAATTACACACATCTCTTAAATGAATGCCCCATTTCACCTGTAATTGCTACTTCATGTATGCTGCAGTACAGCACACGTGGAGTAACAGTTTCATTGTGCAGCTGACATTTGTGCACTTAATGTTTCGAAGTGGTTACGAGAATAAGGATCTCACAGCAAAACACCTCAACTGTCATTTTCACACTTACATGTATCTGTACCTTATGCAGTGGGCAGCAGTGAGGATGAATCGACTGCTGACGAGCGTTCCGCCGCAAACAAATTCGCCTTGTTTGTTCCGTAGTAGTGCCATCCACGGAAATTCGAACGGCTTTGCCACTTGGCCTTTGGATATTCGATCATCTCCTTGAATGCCGCAGGTTCTGCTATTCATAACCGACGGACAGCAGACACTGAGCACCTTCGTGCTGTTGACAGTTTCTTCATTGCACAAATTGTTCTTCGCCAGTGTGGGCCAAAATTGGAATTCAACATTGGTATAATTTGCATACGTGGGGCACTTGTTTACGTCGATGCAAAACTCGTTTCTAGAACAGTATGTTCTGGTAATTTCTGCAAGGATTTAACGCATTGCTGGCAAAGTCAATTTGAGGTAATGAATAAATTTGTCTTACCAGCTGCTGCCAGTTGAATGAATATTGCAATAAATGCAACCAGTTTCATTGCAATGGAATCCAGTTAATTCACCCGATTAGAATCTTATGCAACATGTGCTTTTCCCGGTAGGTTAGGTTGAAAATAGAATGAGATCTCAAAATGCGCTCTTCTGAAAAACTCTCTCTCTCGGAGATACAGATTATGAATAACTACCTTTTTGAAATTGTATATTGTCGCGCGCCCACTAAATCGGAACGCGCGTGTGAGACACGCGACGTGAGACTCACACCCGAATTAACTGTCATCACGAGATTTGTACCCATGACAGTTCGGTCATGATATTATTTATTTATAATCTGCTTTCATTTGTAAATATATTTTTGTTTGTTCCCAGTTCATCACACAAAACGAGTTTGCTATTTGAAAATGTAGAGGAAATTGCTATAGAACCAGAAGATTTTACGTTCAAGGTCGGTTTAAAATGGCCAATCCTATTATACACAACGTCCGGCGCCAGCATGCCAGTTGTAATACAGTGTATCATGCTCTTTATGGCCATTATTTCCTTGGCATTTCGAAGAGGAATTTAGCTACAATTTACGGGAAGGCAATTTCTACCATCTACGATTGGTTTGGACGATACGAACGTGATGGAGTGTTCAGAAGGAAACAACGTGAACGGATTTACAAATAATTCTGTTTCGAAAAGAGAGAATGGCTGGTGAAACTCTACCGGATCAAACCAATCCTGTTTCTCGATGAAGCCAAACAGAGATTTCAACAATATTTTCAAATTTCGATAAGCGTTTCGTCGATTTGTACCATCCTACATGAAGCCGGACTTAGCTGGAAAACTATTGAAAGGTGGGCAATGCAGATACGAGACGATGAGATAATTAGATTAGTTCAGGAATTGCTCGCAATTCGGTGGGATTTGTATAATTTAGTGTTTCTGGACGAAGTGTCATTCGATAACAAGGACATGTTACCCAGGAAGGGGTATGGGATGATCGGACAAAAACTGATCTACCAAGGAGAATTTTCTAGAAAGCCTAGAGTTTCACTTCTATGTTTTCTTAGATTGGGTGGAATGCTGGATAGTTTTTGGACGGAAGGAACTATTAACAGGCTTAAATTTTTTGACTTCTGCCGTAGGTTTGCGTTGAATAATAATCTGGTTCAAAACTATCCAGGAGTTCACTCAATCTGGATTCTAGATGGTGCACGCATCCACTGCGATCCGCACATTATCCGTTACTTGAGATCTGTTGGTATCATCCCCATATTCCTACCTGCGCACTGTCCTTTTTTTAATCCCATTGAAATCATATTCGGGATAATTAAGAAGCACCTTCGGAGATACCACCAACAAAATGCGTCAATACTTGGGGAAGTTTGTGAAGCCATGAATTATTTCAAAGTGTATCAGTGCCGCAATATTTTCGAAAATTGTGGGTACATGTCTGGGGTGTATTTCTTCCGGAAAAGGGCTTAGCTCTGGACCCAAAATATATGGATTTTAATGTATTTCCCAGCTAACCTTTCGAAGAAAACCATAAAACTGTAAATCAGCTGGATTAAAACGTTTATTGTTCCATTTTTCTTAAAGCCGAGAAAACGTAATGAAAACAAAGATAACGATATCTACGTATTACTACTACGCATGATCGATATCAGTGCAATCCATGACTTTCTCTGCCAAGTAGTGACTCAAGCTTGATTCTTCCGGTTGGGTGGCAGATTCCATCGCACTGAAAAGCTCTGACTCAGTATGACCCCGAAAAGTAATGACCTCCAGTTTTTGCATTACTCCTTGGAGAATTGAAATTCCGAGAGAAACTTCGGTCTTCACATCATCTAGTTCGTGACACCAGACACTATTCGATGTCCGAGCTACAACCATTCCTCGGTGAAGTGATTGTAAACGAGCAGCTTCAGACGCAGCAGCCCATCGAAAATACTTCGAAAGCTCGATAGGCGGAGATTCCGCTTAATTCTCCTGCTTATGAGCTGGCGAAGAATTTATTGTATTGGCCCATAGTAGCCATGAGCTCTGATGGCCCTCGAGGTGGCAATGACTTCGGCGTAGCTCATCAGCCAACGCAGCATCATCGGTAGATATTTCTAGTATTACGATCCACGATAACGATGAATAATTGTTAGAAACGAAAATAACAACAAATGCACGCAAAGTTGTTTTTACTCATTTTGAAAACAAAAATAACCTATTGCCCTATTACTCACCATAATATTGAACTATATTAGAAATGACTTGGGAAATGAGAATTTTTTATGCAGAACTTGAATTTTATCAAATAGGTAAGTAAATAAAATCAGGGAAACTTGTTTACCAAAACAAAAAACAGATTCAATGATTATTTCAGCGGTTGGAACAGTTACGATATTTTTGTTGCTTTTTACACACTATTGGTATGTTTTTTTTGCGTGTTTGTCGAGAGTGAGATGGTTGAGTTCTGAACAGCGCCCGGTTTTTGATTTTCAATCGAACAGACAATATTTGTATGTATCCTGGGATTTCTTGCTGGACGATCGAAGTAACGGAAGGAATGTCTTGATAGTTTTAGCAAATTTGGATCAGAGAGGCTCTGCAAACCACAATCTTGAAGTTGAGATGACCACTGGTATTGATGCGAACCAACTGACGCGTCGTAACGCAGTAAAGTGAGGGAATCATTTAAGATTGAATAGGGTAAAAACTACTTCAGCATAAGCGCCCATTTCCATCATATCGAGCTGAAACATCAAATATATCAATGATTTCGACTTGACCGAATCCATCATACTTTTGGTACGATAGTTTAGCTCAAAACCTACAAAACCAAATCGATAAGTACGCATAATATGAATATCTAGATCCTAATTTTCTTAACTCTTCGTATTTTTTGCCTGCATCCATATACCAACGTGAATCCATGACAATTCAATGTGTTTGGACGGAATTCCCGCATAAACGCGAACCATAAATTGACCTTACCGATAATGGTTATAAATTGTTTATAATCCCTCCTTAACTTTAACTGAAATGGTTTTGGAACCTTACATGAACGTTTGTGTGATAAAGTTTTAACCTTATGTATTATGGTTTTTAGGAAGCGGACCTTACAAATAATGGGTTGTTAAGAACCATTACCATTTCAAATTCTTGTTTTCTCCATACATTTTCGGAAGAGAACTATATTAGAACGTTTTTACTTATGGTTTGAGAACATTAATGGTTATGGTTTGTAATGTCCGGAAAATCAAATGGTGATGGTCCTGTCGTGGTCAGAATTCTGGAAATGGTCTATTTTGCCCGATCTCCACTCAAATTAAAAAACCTATATAAATCAAGGGGAAATTATAATTGGTATTATAATCAATGAACCAATATGCACTTAATCATCGTAGAATTATCAAAGGAATCGAATGGTACGAGCCCCATATTATGGTGACCTCTGCAAAACTCCAATTTACCCTATATTCCCCTCAAACTTGAACAAATTCATACATCATGTGGTTTTATAAATTGGCGTCATTAATATTACACACATTTGCACTGTACTTATGTAAAAATGTCCGGAAAATCGAATGATAATGGTCCCATCATGGTCAGAGTTCAGGAAATGGTCTATTTTGCCCGATGTCTCCTCCAATGGCAAAGCCTATATAAATCAAAAGTAAATTGAATTGACACTATAATTTTTAAACGTATAAGCACTTAATTTTCGTAGATTTACCCAAGGAATCGAATAGTGATGACCTCTGGAAATCTCTATTTTAACCAATACACCCCTTCAACTTGAACAAACTATTTATTATAGTTTTATAGATTGGCGTCATCGATATAACGCTCACTTGTTCTGTAGCTATGTAAAAATGTCCGGAGAATGCTGTGATTACCCGACATCTTATTCCAATATTATTTTATCGGAAAATATCAGAACATTTTGTCCAAATGTGATTACTCAAACACTTCGTAACACCATCTAAAGGGATATGTTTGCTCTACAAATAAAAGCTAATAACATCATTAGAAGATTTCCTCAATAATAAAACACAGATTTAGGTCCTTTCGGACCTTTGAAAAAAATAATGTATTAAATCGAACATCGAGTACCGTAGTTCGTTTTACTCCGCATCATCGTCATCAGCATCGCTTCCATCAGAATCCATTAAATTGCCGTCGGCAAAATCATCGGTTGCTTTAGTGTTGGTATAATAAAATGCCAGCTACTTAGAGAAATCCTCCTCGGCAGTCCGATTTCTGGTTGAGCATTTGGAATGTGCTTCCAGATGTTACATCTTCGGATCCGACCATGCCAAAGACAGCCGCATCATATCCAGAATGTTGTCTTCCGGTGAAGTTTTTCGAGCAAGAAATGGTCGCGCATGCTTATATCTCTTATGGCACCTCTCTCCAGACTGTTCATCTATAAAGCTCAAAGGGTATGGCTATTGAAAAGAAAAAATCTTGTTAAGTGTTATGAAATCATTCCAAACAAATTGCGCAGGTTTTAGATACAGTGTATCTCAAAATTGAGCGTACAGCTGTGCTTAAATTTTAGAAAAACGGCTCTAAACGCACAAGTTGAAAAGATACGTCTTTAAATTTTTGGCTGCTGACTCATCATACATTTATCAATTATTAGTACAGTATTGGACATATTTGGTTGAGTTTATAAAAAGTTAGAGCCATTTAAGGAAAACGCCTCTTTCTTGAAAAACCTTATTTTCTTGAAATAAAGTGAACATAACATCTTGAAATTTTGCTCATTTTTAGTAGTGATAAGGATCATTCATATGCCACTAATTTGACTAAAATTCATCCACTAGGTAAAAAGTTGAAAATCGAGCGTT